ATTGTCATAACATACTATACAAAACATTGTTCCACCTCCTACTTTGGTGAGTAGCGACTGGGATCTTAAAAGCTAGCAAGCTGCCATCTTGATGCAACGATGGGTCTCTCCTTGTCCAGAGCAAAGAAGAATGAAGAAAACCAAAATTCATGGAAACAATTAGTCCTAGTGACTGGTACACCCTCCAATCTGCAGCCTATATGACTATGAGACCAGAAGAACTAGATGGTGCCTGGCTACCGCTATCATCCCCTTGGAAGGGGATCTATGTAGGACATCTTTGATAGAGAGCGAGAACAATGTGGAACAAAACTCAAAATCATTTGGAGGGAAAAAAAAAGTGGGGGACCAAGTTTGCTGGTCCAGTAGAGCCTGGTGGAAGCACTGAGACTATGGCCCCTAGCTGCCCTTTCTGTCTGGAATTGAACCCACACCTGTGGTTTCCAGCCAAACAAAATACAGGCATATGAATTGAACATTTATCTCAGGTAGATACACTCCTTGGAGAGAATAGTCATGGGAGAAAGAAGGGCTGCTTATGCACAGGGAGACAGCACAGGGGGCAGGAGAGTATGAAGGGATGGACACTGGGAAGAGGTAACTATGGGGAGGAAGTGAGAGGGGAGATGTTGCACTGTGATAAATTGTGGTCAATGTCATGAGACAAAGTGTATGTGAATTGCTGTACGGAAAGTGAATTTGCTCTGTAAATCTTCACCCAAATCAGAAAAAAAAAGAAGAAGAAGAAGAAAAAGGAAAAATGAATGGAGCAAGTCCTGTTAGCTCTACCTTCAAAATCTCTTTGGAATCCCACTTCACCTCAGATATAACGCCTCTGTTATATCACCCTGTTCCTCTCCATGATCATTTTCTGTCAGTACTATCACTGGTCAATACTAGTTCACCTGGTTTCCCTTCTTCCATTCTTGCCCCTCTACCTATGTTCTCTCCTCAGCAACTGCCATGATCCTTTTAAAACATAAATCTAATCATAGTACTTCTCAGGTCAAAACCTTCCAGTGGATTCCCAAATCTACTAGTAAAAATCCAGACAAGGCCTAAAAGGCCCGATATGGTTTGGCCTCTCTCTCTCATCAAACTTGTCTCCTGTCACTTTCTCCCGTTCTCAATGATGCAGCCTCAATGGTCTTCTTATCTTTCTTCATATATAGCTTTTCATATTTGCTTGCCAGGGTTTGCATCATAAGATTCTGTACTAGCCATTTCCTCTCCTAGGATGATCTCTCCCACACTGGCACAGTGCCTACTCCCTCACTTCATTCTGGTGAAACGACAAGCACGACTCATACCTCCTTAAGATTAACTCTCATATCTAAAATACCAGCCATTATTCTCTTGTCCACTTTTATTTTTTTTCCAATTAATGCAATTGGCTGCTAACAGGTTGGAGGTTTGAGTTCACCCAGAAGTACCTGGGAAGAAAGGCCTGGCAATCTACTTCCAAAAAATCAGCCAGTGAAAACCCTGTGGAGCATTGTTCTACTCCGATACACATGGGATCTCCGTAAGTCGTAAGTGACTCAACAGCAACTCATTTTTTAATACAACCTGAACATGTACGTATGTATTTACTTAGATAAATCGGTGTTTACTGTCATTCTTCACCACAGGAATTGCAACCTACATGAAGATTGTTCACTGCTATGTCCACAGTCTCTAGATCAATGTATAGATCTCTAGATCAATGCACACGGTAGCTGTTCAGTAATATTTGTTGAGTAATGTGATTTCTAATTCCTTGGACTGAATGGAAATATCATGTTGCAGGAATTGCTTACCTACCACTACTGGGTTTTTGTGAAGAGAAATGAGTAGGATTCCTCTCCCTAAAGGGGATGGGATGGATGGGGATGACTGACTTACCAGGCACTTCTATCTACTCATTTAGGTGAAAATCTGGCAGATGATGATGCCAGATGGACTTTTCCTAATGAACCATGTAATAATCCAGTTAATCCTGTGCTGTGGACACGGCACAGGGAAAATCTCACGTTGCAGCCTCCTGACATCTTTAGCCTCTCCTTTGACCCTCAGCCCTGGGACCTGGTTGGTGGCCAGAATAGTACACCTTGTTGAAATACTCAAAAGGCGAAGACACAAACCTTTCTGCCTTCGTCAACTTCATGGCACCCAACTGAAGGAGCTCCAAGGCTGTAATGGAAGAGTGGGATGATACGATGAAGAGAAAAGCTTCAGATTCAGACACCAGACTTCCAAGGGATTTGGGCAAGCCATTTCACCTCTCTGGGCCTTAGTTTGTCCTTAACTGTTAAGTTGGTTGGACTGAATATATATTTAAAGTCCTCTCCAACAGTGACTTTCTATAGTTACAAGAACTTCGCGTATGAAATGACCCCTCCTTGGGTTTCTGAGGCGGTATCTCTACAGAAGTAGATCGTCCAATCTTCCTTCTGAGGAGTAGCTAGTGGGTTTGAACTGCCAGACTTCTGGTTAGCAGTCAAATTCCTTAGGCATTATACCATTAGAGCTCCCATGAGGTGAATTGGAGTAGACAGTTTATAACCTGGAGCAGCAGGGGAGGGAAATTCAACACGGAGGGAATTGAACTGAGGCTGTGGTAGGAGCTCATCATGGCCAGCAGGTGGAGCCATTGCTGCACCAGGATGCTCAGACCAAAGGTGGAAAAGTTTGATGAGAGAGAAAGTGGGTCTTCCAGGGCAAGCTGTCACTACCATGGAGACACCTCCCTCTTCCTCCCAAAAGCCCCCCCAAACCCACCCACCCACCAGTAAACTGAGGTTAAAATACCATTATGCTGCTAGGCCTGTGGCTGGAGGCTTTTCAAAGACCAGTTGCCTTTTCCCCTGCCATGTTTTCCTGGGAGTCAAAGTATACACCTTGTACCTGATTCCACCCTTGGCTTTGCTACCCCTAAGTGGGCCAGACTCAACTGGTCACTTCCATGGCAAGATGTGTAACTGGGAATAGGCCAACATTTTTTTTTTTTTTTCCCCAATTATCACCTTCCATTTCTCTAACTCCCAGAAGTCTGCTCTAGACCTTGCCCCTATGTCTCCCTTAAGTGCTGGGGAGGAACCTCTGGTTAAGAGAAGTTGGAGAAAAGAAAGAAGGAAATGGGGGTGGGGGAGTACTCAAGGGGAAGGCCTGGCTTTGGCTAGATAAGAATGGAAGAATCAACCTTTGTTTGGCCCCAACTGCTTCTGCCACTGTTTACACACTGGGGAGTGTTTCCTGAAGCTACTTGCTGGTGTCCAGCAGCGCTCCCTCCCCCACTTCCTACGGCCAGGTGCTTGCATGCATGTGTGCACGTGTGTGCGTGTGCACGTGTGTGCGTGTGCGCGTGCGCACGCGCGCGTCTGGAGTGGGGGCAGGCACTTAGAGAGTTTTGCAGTTGAGCTGTTCTCTTCATGTTGAGGGTGGGAACAAACTCCTCCCTGCAGCAGCAGCTCCCCACAGTCCTTCCTTCATGGTTTCTGCTCTGAATTGGGGGTTGGGGTAGGGTTCTGATAACAGAAAATGCATAGCGTACACCTTCTTTCCTTTATTTTGCTATTTTTTTCTACAGCAACCAAAATGCCCTTCTTCCCAGAGGGCTACACAAAGAGTGCAACAAACAAGCCCTCAGCATACCATCTTCCACTGTGTCTAGAAACATCAGCTGTGAGTCTCCCCCACCCCACATGGAGGAGGGCAATCTTGGCAGATACAGCCGAAGGGCAGCATCCTGGATGGTACCTCTGTTCCCAGAGACGGCCCAGCATTTTGCCTCACTAACTCCACATCACTGCCCTGTGTCTGATGGGGAGGCCACTATGACATTCAGATATACTACCTAGATGAGCCACACACAGATGTGTTCCAGTATCACTTTAATTACAGTATTTACACACGTTTTATTCAGGGGGAAAAAAAATCCACCCAATCTTCCAATCTCTGGAAAGTTAGTATTTCCAACCATCATTGAACCCAGGGATCCCTGCTCATTCCTCTGAGGGCAAAAAAAAAAAAAAAAACGGGACCTGGATCCCCTACAGAGGCAGCAGCCGTAAGGATAGTCTTTTGGAGTCTGGGGAAGGAATAGGAAGCCAGGTTGTCAGATCAGAAGTTAAGCCAGGACCTCTAGCCTCAAAGCAAGACAATTCTTCCAAAGAGCATAGGTCAAAAGGCTCTGCTCCAAGACCTGGTCCCCCGGTCCTGTCCAATCTGACTCAGAGGATCAAACAGGAGCCCAAAGAAGAGGCTTCTGTGGCCCATGAGCAAAGACTCAGACTGAAGCCATTTGTTCTCCCCTATTTGCCCCCACAGAGGAGCACACTTGCCGCTATGAACCCCAAAGTTACAGACACAGAGCACTGTTCTAAACCTTGGAGCTCAGTCTCAGGTGCCAGGCAGAAAATTGTGCAGGCTTCTGTACACCACGGAGAAGGGAACACAGGGAACTACATGGACTTTGGTGAGCTTGGACTTTGGCTGGTGGCCAAACTCACTGTCTTACAGAAGGGGTAATGGAAGGGGTTGAAGACAACTAGTCTTTCTGGCTATATCATTAGAAGGGAGCAGGTGCAAAGGGTTACTCTGGTTTCCCTAAAGTAGAGGAAGAAAATAGAAAGAAGTAACAGTAAAAGGCAGAGCTTCCTGGGAGGAAACTAGCATTCTCCTGGGGTCTCCTGTAAGGAGGCTGGGGAAGGGGTCCTGGGCACAAATGCAGCAAGGACAGCAGTCCTCCTTGGGGGCTTCTCTGGACCTTGACTTTTTTCCCATCATGCCTTCATCCAAATAGGACTGGAGTCTGGGTTCAGGGGCTGAATTTATAAAGAGGAGAGGGTTACCTGCCTTTGCCCAAGGTGCAGAAAAAACCCCAGCCTGGTGCACTGCAGGGCCCCAGGCAGGGCCTCCGCGGGTGTGTGTAGTGGGAAAGGGTAGAACACGGGGCTCTCTCCAGATACAGCAGGAGGCCCTTCTCCAGACATTGCCCAGGCTTGCCCCACCCAGCTGAGTCACAATTCTGTATCAGCCACCATGTGTTGTCTTGCTGAATGGCCGTTTCTGGATGTGGCCTGGCCGGTGCCGTTCTCCTGAGCCCCTCGGTTCACACTGGCCTTTCCCTGGGCCTCGGGGGAGGCCCCAGGGCCTGAGCTATAGCCCTGGCCTCCACCGCTCTCCGTGTAATAAGGGTCTTCGCCCTAGACGGTGTATAAATAAAGGAGCATTATCTGTTCAGCAGGAGCAGGGGTGAGGCACCATGTGGGGAGGGGCCCTGACAGGAACAGGAGGAAAGGGTAGGAGGGAGGTAGGGGGTTGCAGCTTGTACGTGCAGATTCCTTTCTTCTTCAAGAGTGGTCAGGGTTCCAGTTCCTAGAGGAGAAAGGACAGAGGAGAGGCACCACACCGCCACTGCAGCTCAACAGCCAGCCCCACTGGAGAACAGGCAGTGCCCAGCATGGAATAACCTCCCCAGAGTCAGATCCCGGCCCTGTCCTCCCTTACCCAGAAAACTTCAAGAGCAGGTTTCCCTTCCTGGGGGCCCCTTCTTGTGAGCAAGGCAGTGCCCACGGACATTTAGTATACTTGTATATAAGTGTGGCTGATTTAGTAGCCTGTTCTGCTTGCTCCCAGCTAAACTATCCCAGGAAAAACAATAAACAGATGATATGAACCCTACCATAATGAACAGAGGAGCTCTGGTGGCGTGGTGCGTTACACAATTTTGACTGCTAACCAGAAGGCTGGCAGTTCAAACCCACCAGCCACTCCTTGGAATGAAGACTGGGGCAATCTACTTCTGTAGAGATACCGCCTCAAAAGCCCAAGGAGGGGTCTCTGTGAGTCGCAATCAACTCAATGGTAGCAAGAGTGGTTTTTGGTATTATTATGAGTAGGTGGGCTGGCCCCAGTTAGGGGCCCCGCCAAACCAACTATATATTGTTTTGAATTTTCCATGGGTATGGTATGTGAACACATGAGTATCCCTGTGTAAGTGCACAAGTGGCTTTTTTGGCAGTTAGCATGACATTCGTGGGCCTCCCAAGAAGACCACTATCATCCTCATCTTTGTCCTGGACCCCAAAACTGACCAGCCTTTCTCCTGTGGGGCTCCAACTGCGGCGGTTCATGAGGAAATAGCCAGTGGTGCCCAAGATAGCCAGCAGGATTCCTGAGGTCACCAGAGCAATCAGGGTCTTGCGGGAATAGCTCTGGTGGCTCCCAACATTTTCTTCAGTGAAGCCTTGGATGCCCAGCTTGAAGACAGGACACAGAAAAAACAACCTGTCACTTGTGGAAAGTGGGTCCTAGAAGAAGAGCCCAGCCTACTGTAGACCCCATTATGGGATATGACAATGAATGAACCCAAGAGGATATCAACCACTGCCATATTCAAATCTGAGGATTTATGTCTTAATTTTTTGGTTTTTGATCTCTTCATTAAGACACACTTTAAAATTTTTGGATCAAGTATAGAAAGGTGAAAACTTTCAGAGGAGAATGTAGAAATAGGAATGTAGAAATAGAAAGGGTAGATCTGGAGAAGATAACGATATCCTTTCCCACCCCAATGAGCTCCCTTGGGCCAGTTTTCCCTTTGAGATGCCTCATTTCAGAGAACTTACCTTTTCCAGGTCAGACTGGTGTTTTTTCATAAGTTGGAACTTGCTGGAAAGTTCTAGAACGAGAAACAAGAGTTGCTGAGTCTGGAAGCTGAACCAGCTCATCCTATCTACTTTATCACACTGCTCTGGAAGATGAGCTCATGATCAGAGTGGCCCATCTCAGGAGAGCCTCTCCCAATGTTAACCAAGCCCTTCTCTCCAACACCTGTGTGCTCTCCGGAGCTGAGATGCCTGGTTTGCACCCAGGATCCTCTGAACCTCAGCCTTCCCTAACCTCAGCCTCAGATTCCTTGCAAACTCTCTGGACAGACATGCCCTTTACCTGTTCTGTTGGCCAAGACCAGCATCAGGCACTGAGGCTTTATCTCCGACTGGGCCAGGAGCAAGGAGCACACCTCAGCCCCAGACACAGCCTGCTCCTTTTCACACAGTAATTGGATCAGGTTCTCTCCTTTGTCCTTCTTAAAGTCCTCCTGAGAACACAGGGAAAAGTGATGAGCAGGAGATGAAATTACATTCAGAAACTTCGGCAATAATTATGATTAAAGCTACATAAGTACCCCTTCCACAAGATTTCTTCTTTCTGAAATTACAACTGAAAAAAGCAAACAAAAACAAACAAAACACTGCACACTTATATGCGCAAAAGCACAAAAAATAAAAAACAAACTTTCCACATAGCAAAACATTGATCTACTAGTCAGAACAGCAGAGATGTCCTGAATGGTACTCCAAGATGACAGAAAACAAACTTAGGAAACATCATCTTATTTAGGGATTGCCTGTGCACACGTGCTCAAACAAACAAACAGAAACAACTCACTGCCATTAAGTCGATTCCAAATCACAGTGGTCCCCACTGGGTTTTCAAGACTGTAAGTCTTTATGGAAGCAGACTGCCTCATCTTTCTTCCACAGAGCAGCTAGTAGGTTTGAACCACTGACCTTCTGGTTAGCAGCCAAATGCCTTAACCATTATACCATCAGAGCTCCTTATGTACATATATTCTATTTAAGCTGAATTCAAAAGAAATGACCAATAACATAAAATACTAATGCACAAGAGTAAGAGAAAAATGCTTTGTTTCAGTGTTGCAAGACCTAACCCTAATTACTGGAAGAAAAGGAGAGATGCGGGGTCGAAAATCAACCTGTGGTTTTATATTCTTAACGAGGTCCTCAGCCCCTTCCCTCTTCCTTTCCAAACCAGTTGCAGTTAAGTCAATTCCAACTCATGGCGACCCCATGTTTGTCAAAGTAGAACTATGCTCTGGAGGGTTTTCAATGGCTGATTTTTTTGGAAGTAGATTGCCAGGCCTTTCTTCCGAGGCATCTCTGGGTTGACTCGAACCTCCAACTTCCAGTTAGCAACTGAGCATGATAACTGTTTGTACCACCCAGGTGCGCTAAAGGGGTCTCTCACAGAGCACTGCTCAAATCAGTAAGGTATTTTGGTCTAGTCTTCCATCCTAGTTTTACATGAGGTTTAGAGATCTTTCTCCAAGTTGCTAACTCATCCATAAGACTCGGGAACTCAGACTCAGAAGATAAACTCTGATAACTCTTAAACAGCTCAGTCTCAGGAAAGGTATGAATTGGAAGCCTTAGCTGTGTGCCCTTCCACTACCCTGTTCTCATACTTCCACTACCCAGACTTTATTCAAGCAGCCTCCAATCAAAGTGGCCTCCCCTGCACAGGAAAGGAGCTGAAACCGACTCTGCTCTCTGTCCGGATGGCAGATGGCGGAGAAGGAAATGCCTGAGCAGCTCTGACAACTTTCCTGTGAGGGGAAAATTGTTGGGATGTGTGATGGCCATCAGACTGAGCCTCTGGAGAAGAGAGCTTCCTGTTTGTGGGGCAGGACTGCTCCTTTTTGCAAGGGCAGGGGATCCTCCCAGCTTGGAATGAAGGCTGGGTATTTTCCTTCTGCTGGTACCTACGGCAGGAAAACCCAGAGTCCTTTGCTCCTGAACAAGGCAAAGTCAAGATTGGTCTCAGGCCCAAGCTTTTTTCTATCAGCTGGAATTGGAGGAAGCTGGGGGAAAATAACTGGGCCTGGACTGGACAAAAAGAGCCAGGGCCAGCTGACTTCGAGCAATAGCTTCAGAAACCCCAAAGGGCCAGGTCACAGAGAAATGTGTCCTGAGTTTCAAGTCCACTGCTGCTTCACCCTTTAGGAAAAGGATCGATTCTGCAGGTCTTCCAAGAAGTCCACGTTTAAAAATTCTGCTTCTGGAAAAATCTGTAATCTTTAAGACAGCATTTGCAGTAGGTAGTCTGGACATCCTATTGGATATGATCAGTCCTATCCTTCCTCTCTAGACCCAATTCTCTCAGGAAAGCCTTACATTACTGCTGCTTCCTGAGTACCACACCCTCCATTAGCACCATGCCCTCTGGATTAGGAGGAGGTAAGACCTTCTCTGGATAACTCTAGGCTGCCAAAGTATCTCCCATTGCAAGTATGTTTGCTTCCTCAGAAAGACAGTAACAGGGTTCTTATAAAATCTAAACGAGCAAAACAAACTATTACCCCCTCAACCTGGTGAGTCCTAAGAAGCTGCACCTTCAACAATATTCAGCTGTTATGACAAACATTTCTCAAGCCCTGAGTATGAGACACTGTGAAAACCTCTGTGGGTATGTTATGTGCAGGGGCAGCTATGAATTTCACATGGTCACAGCTCTCAGTTTCTATGCCTGGCGATTAAAATAAATGACCAGGCACTGTTCTAAGTGCTCACACAACCCTGTGAGATAGGTTATTATTATTATTCTCATTTTACAGATGAAGAAACTGAGACACAAAGAGATTAAGAGGGCACACAACTAGTTATATTTTAAGAACTGTAAGAAAAGGGTCCTTGGGGGTGGGGCAAATAGTTTGCACTTGATTACTAACCTAAAGGTTGGAGGTTCAAACCCACCCAGCAGTGCTGCAAAAGAAAGGCCTGGCAATCTGCTTCCATAAAGATTATGCAAGGAAAACTCTATGGAGCAATTCTACTCTGTAACACGTGGGGTCTCTATGAGTAGGAATCAACTCAGTGGCAAAGGGTTGGTTTTCATCTTTTTTTTTTTAAAAAAAAAAAAAACTTAAGGAAGGTACAACTAAATTGCTCTGGGTATAGAAAGCAGAGTGAGGACACAATTGGTTTAGGGTTATCAGAACATCTCAGAGCAAGCCTTGAGGAAAGGGTAGAACGTGTGCAGATGAAGCTAGTGGGCAAACGTTTTCTATACAGAGACACCACAAGGAAGTTCAGGCATGTGACAGCATGCAGCATTTCATAACCCTGGTCACTGAGAGAATGAAGAGCACTGCCGCCTTCTTTGTATTCACCATCCTTCAAGACTCAACTCATCCCACCTCCTCAAGGAGGCTAGTCCTCTCTTCAACCAGGCTAGATATCAATCCTTGCTTGCCAAGTTACCGGCTTCATTGCCAGTCATGCACCTAGTCGGGCATCAGCTTGTACACCGGTGAACTCAGTTGTTGTGACTAAAGAGATACTCTATGAAAAGTGCCCAAAATGCTGTTTGGTACCTAACGGACTGGATAAATGGCAGTTTATTAATATTATTATTAGTAACAACAATACATTACATACTGTATCATCTAGAATCCACATTTTGATGTTTAATCATATTCCACCTTATTGTCATTTCTTTCTGACTAGATGGTAAGAATCCTTAATGGGGGGCAAATACACATTACATAACTTAGAACCCGGAATGCACTAAGTAAATAAGCATAGCACACCAAGCAAACAAAAGGGCTCAGTGAATTGTTGTTAAACTTAACATCCCAACCAGTTTGGCCTCCACACTGGGTCCCCTTCACCCCTTTCACAGTTTCTTGGACCTAACTCAAGGGAAGAACAGCAGCCAGACACCCACTCTGGCATCCAACAGCATCAGTGAATTGTATTTGGGCCCGGTGTGGAGCAGGTGGATCCTGGACTAAGAACAATGCTTCTCCGGAAGCCTGGAATAAACATCCTCCCCAGGGAGAGGCTGTGGGCCGACATCATGGGAGAGTGGGCAGGAGGAAGCCACAGCTCGCCACTGTTCATGGGAATCAGATTTGCAGTCCCCAACTGCTTCTCCTCGCTCCCTTTACTTTGCAAATAAAATAAAATAACCGCAATAAAAAACATCTAACCTGTCTAGAGGAGCATTTTTAAATTTCTCAAAGAATGCTTTTTTAAAAAAAGTTATTTATTGTGTTGTTGAGAATGTACACAGCAAAACACACCAGTTCCACAGTTTCTACACGTACCATTCATTTAGTGACATTAATTACATTCTTTGAATTGTGTAACCATTCTCACCCACCTTCCTTTTCTGAGTAGTTCCTCCCTCATTAATATAAACACACTAACCCCTAAAGTTACCATCTAATCTTCAGAGTTGCTGTTGTCAAGTTGATCCCATAAAGATCCTACTTCAAAGAATTCTTAACATATTAAAGCAGCATATGAAGCACTGGGTTAGGGGAGGGTAAGGATGGGCATTTTTCCAAAGGACCTTTCAGATACACTCCAGTGCTGAGATTCTACAATTCTACAATTGTCTGTTGCCCCTACTTTCTTTTTTAAAAACAATTTTATCTACTTTGATGTAAAGATGACAAGGCAGGCAAAATGCCTATTTTCACCTAGGGGCTAGAGTAATTAAGGGATCTGCTGGAAATCACACAATAGCTGAGCAGCTGGACAAGAGGGAAAAGTCAGGCTTTTTGTCTCCTGAGCTCAGGCTTTTTCCAGAAGACTTCGTAAGTCCTCCATCTGCAACTTATTTTTTCTGCATGGAGGCTGACCTTTAGTGTTTGGGCAGAGGGTGAGGAAGGAGTGGGTGTGGGGGATACAGACTGGAGGCTGGAGGCAGCCTGCCACAAATGAAGTCAACGTGAAAGAATAAGGATGAGGCGAGCTGGCTGAACAAACACAACCTCTGCATATAAACAGATATGACTGTAGAGAAAGGTGGCTCTAAAACATCGGTGGGTTGACCTGGACTTGGGATGGGTGACAAATGTTGCTAAAAGAAGTTTGAGATGTGGTAACAGGGGCATGAGAAGGGTGTGTGGGATTGCCTTCCCTCCCCCTGACTAATGGTGGTGACTTCTGCCTAGAGGTGAAGGATGGGAGCAAAAGGAGAGACTAGGATACAAATGTCTATGAAATGCAGATACAGAAGACAGGCCATAATACATACTGTTGTTGTGCGCCATTGAGTTGATTCCGACTCATAGTAACCTTATAGGACAGAATAGAACTGCTCCATAAGGTTTCCAAGACTGTATCATCTAGAATCTACATTTTCATATTTAATCATATTCTGCCTTATTATTATTGTCATTTCTTTACAATCTTTACAGAAGCAGACTACCACATCTTTCTCCCAAGGAGTGGCTGGTGAGTTGGATGTGCCAGCCTTTTGGTTAGCAGCTGAGAGCTTAACCACTGT